AAAAAAAAAAAAAAAAAAAAAAAAAAGCATTGCAGCTGCCTGGTCAGAGCTCTCTACAACTGATGGTATCCACACTGTGCCCGCTGACTGCGCAGACCTGAGATGCATTTTTGGCCACACGAGAACCCTGGCAGATGGCTAAGCCTCCTCACCATCACGGCCCAATTTGCCTTTCTCCAGGAGCTGGGAGATGTTGCCAAGCAGTTGCTGCAGCCCATCTGATATCTGTTGAGTTTGTGGTTTTTCCCAGGAGGAAACACCTGCCAAAAAGAACGTCCCTGTTTTCCTCTGTCTTCAAAGAGTTCCAGAACCCTTTGATAATGACGGGATCATGACTCTCTAGCCAGAAACAGCTGCTCCTCTCTACCACCTCTCCGCCTCCCTGAGCCCCCAGTCCTCCAACAAGCCCCTCTGGGCTGCCCAGGGAACCACCTCTAACAGATGGTGGCATGGTTTTCTCTCATACTGACTTCAGGGAATCCCCCAGGGTGATAGTGTATTGCTACAGGTAGGGAGTCAGGCAGAGTGAAATCATGAGCCATATCTAAACATACAGTTGGCGAAAACAACCTGTAAATGTATTCAGGCACACCAAACCACAATGTTCTCTCTTGTGTACGTTTTGTGTATCCGATTTAATAAGAAGAAATAGTTAGAATTGCCCTTCGTGAATTGGGTCTGCTCCTGCTCAGGGCCGGGACCTTGGTCAAGCCCATGCTCCAATTTGAAGGACTGTGAGAATGTCCCTGGGCACTGGTTTACATTATTGCTCCAAAAAAACCTTGTTTTGTTGCTAGGCACAAATCTAAGAGAGTTAAAATGCTGGTTGGCACAGTATTGACAGTTCTAACCCTTGCTCCCCTCTTACCACAAAGAGCTAAGTCAGTCATGTGCACTACCTCGCTGAATCCTGCAATTTAAGAGGGAAGCAGCCTTTTCTCAGTCTTCAGATGGAGAAACTTAAGATTTAAAAAATTTAGATATTTACTGAAAACTATTGTTTGGGATAAGGTCTACAGACACCATAAAGCTCTTCTTCCATGTCAGGGAAGAGTATGCATTTGGTCCAGATAAGGAAAACTTACCCCACACTAGGAGAACCAGGGTAGAGATGACAAGAAGCCAGGGAGGCATCCTCAGGTGGTCCCAGGACACTGACCAAAGTATGCTCAGCAGCCCTGGGAGGACACTGGCAGTTAGCATGACTGTGCCAGCTGCCAGTGACAGCAGCTATCTACCTACTGCTTTGTTGTGGGCCTCCTGAGGGCCAGCATCTGGCTAAGGCTCCTCTGAGTGCCGTGTGCACCGCTGGTGCACACCATCGCAGAACAAACACCTAGCAACTCTATTTACTGCTGCCTACTATGTGTGTGGTTTATGAAAATACTTGCACAGTAAATCTTAAATACATCCCACCCCCACCACCCAGATTCTGTATATACAGGAACAAAATCTAAAAATGATCTAAGAAACTCAAGCTCACATGGAAGGGTCTAATGCAGACATTCCCTTTCCAACTGGGGATAAAACCACATGCGGTACCTAGGGTGTAGGAGTTGGGACAGACCAGATCCGTTTTTTGGGGCAGAGGACACCTGACCTTAAGACTAGTTTGAGAGAGTCTAGTCTCTTCTGGAGATGGTTTTTAAACATCACACTCGAACAGAACCATTGACATTGGGGGATGGCGCAGTAGCTAAAGTGTTTGCCATATGAGACCAATGATATGAGTCTGAAACTCCAGTAGCCATGCAGAAAACAGCTGAGCGTGAGTGTGACTGGACAAGTCTATAATTCCAAGACTGGGTGGCAGAGGCAGGCAAATCCCTGGAGCCCACTGTCTAGCCAGCTTTACCGAATCCATGACTCATCCACTGAGAGACCCTGTCTCACAAAATAGGTAGAACACGGTTGACAAAGACCCAGTATCGAACTCTGGCTTTCACATGTATACATAAAGTATATACCCACATGCGCATGCACACACACACACACACACACACACACACACACACAGAGAGAGAGAGAGAGAGAGAGAGAGAGAGAAGGGAAGACATATACTACCTGAATGTTAGCTATCTATCATGTTCTCACACTAAACAAAGTAGAATTACCTGGGCCCTCTGTCCGTTCCAGCCCAGCAGGTCAGAGTCCCGCCACCTCGCCACTCATTGTTGGTAGTTCCCTCCTCCTTGGTTTCCCGGTCTTGTACCTTCTCTAACAGGTGCCTCTTCCAGTTTTCCCTGGCTCTGGAGAGGTGAGGACAGTGTCTAGGAATGGAGCACCCAGGCTATAGCTTCCCCAAAAAAGGAAGTGAGGGAGCCCCCCAAAAAAGATGGAGGGCAGAGGCCTGAGACTCAGCGTCAACTGAGTTGAGAGCCCGGAAAGGAACTCAGGTGAGACCTGCTGGGCTGAGAGTACAGGGACCCGCCCTGTGAATAAGCCAGGTTCCTCCGCCCTGGGGAAAGCCCACTTGCCACATCTTCCCTGACCTCTTTCTTCAGCTCAGCCTTCAACAGGCCCAGCTGACCTGGTCTGCTTGCCTGGTGGCTATTTCTGACATCAGTGAACTTACTGTCAATAGCCATCTGCTCCACAGATCTGAAGGCTGTCGATTAAGGTCATTTACCAGCTATTACTACAACCGCCTTCCTACCAAGGTCACCCACAGAGGCAGGATGGAAGGAAATAGAAAGCCATGTTCCCGGGAGGAAGTTCACAGCGCCTAATTCTAACCCTGTGGCCTATGAATGCATCACCTGCCCTCCGTGTTGCTCCACCCACCATCGGTATCACACTGTGACCCACGGAGGAAGCAGTCCTCACCCACTTCTGCCCCGAGGCCTGGTTATATCATCTCTGAGCAGGTTCTGTGGTCTAAAACCTGGGCTTTCAGAGCTGTGGATCCTCATAGAGGAAGCTCCACGTGGCAGTGAGACTCTGGCATCTTCGCAGGGGATATCCAGCCTCTCAGCTCCCAGCAGGCCCAGCAACCTTCAGAGACCCCAAGAAAATGGCCTTATGCAGAAAGATTGTCCCAGGAAAAACTCTCTAGAAAGTATCACCACAGCACTGGGTGTCACCGCTGCACTGGGTGTCACAGCTGCACTGGGTGTCACAGCTGCACTGGGTGTCACCACTGCACTGGGTGTCACAACAGCACTGGGTGTCACCACTGCACTGGGT